GTCTGCACTCCCCATGTTCACCATCTGAACTTGGAACTCGTGGACAAGATGGCCTGGACCCCTCAACGCCCAGCCTTGCTGTGTGAACGGGGTGTTTGAGTGCAGTGATCAGTAGACTTGGCAAGGTGGGGGATGGGGGTACGGCTGGGTGGGACGGCTGGGTGGAAACGTGAGGGAGAGTACAGGGCTGAGTGTCTCAGTGGGTAGATGGGGCCACAGGCTCTATGACTCCATGATGACTGACGCGGTGTAAAACCAGAATCAAAACAGAGGACAGCTCAGTCTCAGGACTTCGGTCGTGTGTGTATTGTGTAGTCCATCCCCCAGGCTCTGGGGACAGGCTGGACCTTCACCTGCTCATTTGTGTCTGGCTTTGCCAGCAAAGATAAGTTTGCAGAACTTTGTCCTTTCGAGGAGGCCACCTTGGGAGAAAGCAGAAAGGCTATCAGCTTTTTGAGCACTTCTGGTAGATGCCTCCCGATCACCTTACCCATAGAGTCTTCCCTCATTTTTGGCAGCTGTGTGTGCTTGGGGGTCAGCACTGAGTGAGGTTAAGGATGAAGCCAACTGCAGTGACAGTGACAGGCCCAGCTGATAAACACAGAGGATCTAGGTCCTTGGTGGCACTGTTTTAGTCACTGGCTCAAGTCCCACCTGAAGCTAGCACTCCTCTGAAGCTCACGCTTCCCTGAGGCAGCAAATCCTTGAGTGGCAGATGCCAGAGTGGCCTTCTGCACCTTGCTTGGGAACCCCTCATAGACACAGCTGCCCATCCTTTCCTCAAGCCTCTTGGGCTTTCCCTGGCCTGTTCCCTGTTTGTCAGATGACCCATGAATCTTTTCTGAAAATATATGTAAAGCAATTTATGGTGGAGAGAGAGTATGAAGAAGAGGAGTTAAAAAAAGAGGTAAGCAGTTGCCCCCGAAGCCTTTATGGCTGAGAGGGTAGATTCAGTTGTACGAGGACACATGTTGAGTGCCTGCTGTGTGCTGGGCAGTATTCAACATGAGCCACGTCACTGCCCTCCTGAGGCCCACATCCTGGGGAGGGACTGGGGCAGGTAAATCAGTGAACAAAGATGCAAAGTGATAGCACTACGCAGAGAATTAAAACAAGCTGGTGTCGTTTAGGTTCTGGCCAAATAGGGGTGAGTGTGATACCCACCCTCCCCTTGAAGGCAGCCAGACGCCCTGGACAGAAGGCATGGGGCAGCTCTCTGAGGACTCTAAACATTACACAAGAGCAGAAAGTTTTGGGAAGGAAACAGATTTCAAAATACGGCCAGACTGGTGGCGTTTCCCATCTTCCTTTCTGCAGTGTCCCAGGGCCCAGGTGCAGAGACGGTGTGGAAGCCAGACCTGTGCTGGGAGACAGACCAGACTGTCTCTCCAGGACAAGCCCTGGGCTGCTGGGCTGAACGATGACGAGAGAGGGCCCTGATGCTGGAACGCAGAAAACCCCGTTTCCATCTGTCTGGCCTAGCCCCCAGGCAGTGTAGCGACAGTGGTGCTGGCGACAGAAGAGGCAGTCGGACTGGTGATCAGAACACTGAGCAAAGAGACCCTTTCTCTCAGGCCAAAAGGACTGTAGTCCTGAGAACTCAGGGGAATCCCATCTCCCCTTTCTCCTTTCTCCTCCCTTCCTTCCTCCCCTCTCACCTTTTCTCTCCTTCTCCACCCCCCGCCCCCCACCCCTGTATCTTGTTGCTTTTTGGAACAGCAGAGCAGAGAAACTAAAACCTGGCTTTTTAGCCAGAAGACCAAGGTGAGGTTGGAGGGGCAGGGTCTCCTGGGAACTGGAAAGTGTCAGGAAGATCATAAAAAGGAGGGAGCTAAATAAAGTGACCCCTAAAGCAAAGTATGAATGTCTGAGCTCACCCCAAAGCTGACCCGACACAGCAAAGGATATCCGAACTGAGCTCCCAGGTCCCCCACCAGCAGGCACAGCAACAGCTTGGACTAGCACCGTGAGCCTTAAAAACAGAACTGACATCACTTAGTAGTTTCAGCCCAGAGAAAGCAGACAGGGACTCGCAGCCTGGGCCTAACTGACTGCCTGATCTAAAAGCAAACAAACACAGAGATATCAACATTTTCCATGGGATTTAAATAAGACCCACAATTCCATAGCAATATTCAAAATGTCCAGGATACAATCCAAAATTACTTGCTATTTGAAGATCCAGGAAAATCTCCACATCTCTCAAGGAAAAAGACAATCAAGAGATGACAGCTCTGAGATGACACTGTTTCTGCAAGTGAGACGTTAGACAGCAGCTATGGTATTTGTGCTCTACAAAGTAAGGGCAGGTCTCCTCGAAGTGAATGGAGAGATGCTCTCATCAGAAAAACAGATGGTACAGCAAGAGCCAAACTGAAGTCTCAGAGATAAAGAATATAATAACCAAAAGGAAAACAGTGATCGGATGGACTCTAACAGAATGTAGGTGAGAGTCAATGAACCTGAAGATAATCAGTAGATCAATATTGATAGATCAGTATGAATTATCCAGCTGAATGACAAAAAGGAAAGAGATTTAAAAAAATAAACAAGTCTTCAGGAACCTGTGAGATCACAGGAGAAGGTCTGACATCCTTGTCCTTGGTCTCGGTACCAGGGGAGAAAGGGTATAGTGCAGAAAAAGGTTTTGAAGAAATAATGGCTGAAAACTCCTTAAATTTGGTGAAATACATAAAGTTACAGATTTGAGAAGCTCTGTGAGCACCAAACAAAATGAGCTTGGGGAAATCCATGCCCAGCCATATCATAATCAAATTACTAAAAGTAAAGGCAAAGAAAAAAATCTTAAAAGCAGCCAGAGAAAAACAATTTGTTAAATACAGGGGACAGCACACTAAATGACTATGAATTTCTCATCAGAACTAGAAGCCAGAAGGCAGTAGAACATTTTTTAAATGCTGAGAGAAAGAAAAGAAAACAAAACCCTGTCAACCCAGAATTCTGTATTCTGCAAAAATATTCTTGGGGGATGAAAGTGCATACAGACAGCATCAGATTGTGCTTGCTTCCATGGCACGCACACGAAAATTGGTGCAATGCCAAGATCGGCATGGCCCCTGCTCAGAGGTTACACGCACATCCCTGAAGTGGTCCACATTTTTTAATGTATGGCTTGGCGACTATAGTTGACCATACTGTGTTGCGCATTTGAAAGTCACTAAGAGGGTAGAAGCTCTCATCACAAGGCGTTCTTCCTACAGCTCCAGCTCTGTCCCCCTGGCATCTCGTGCCTATGGTGTCTCCAAATCCAACAGTGTTCTGATAAAGGGCCTAAGGAGAGTGTGCTGTACTTTGTCGCAGATAATAAAACACCGCTTGGTTAAAAGTAAACATTTAAAATATGCCATGTTTTCTAGCGTTGTTTTGTGACACCTTTGCTTCTTAATACACTAAGTACTTCAGCAGGCGACAGGGGCCCCGGCCCCATCATTGCCTCTGCTCCATAGATGAGCGGCGAGCCCGGGGCAGGCTTCCTTCTTGTTTTCCCTTCAGCCATTTCCATTGTGCACCTTGTCCATGGCCAGATCAGACGGGTCCTACGGCCCATGGGGAGTAGGGGCAGGACTGTTGCAACATTCAGGAAAGAAGGCAAGCATGGGGCTCCCGGGGCAATGCTTGCCTTGGGTTCATCCTGCAGATGAGGTGGAGCCAGTGGCAGGCAGGCCAGGTGGCATATCCTTCCAGATCCCCGCAGACCTGGGAGAAGGGGGACCCCAGGCTGGCTGGAGGTCTGCTCTGGGAGTCCATCACCTCTCCTTGCAAGGTCTTTGCCTTGGGCTTCATTTGTCCAAACTCCCTCTCTCCTGGCTCTCCCCAGACCAGGCAAAGGCCCAGTTGGCTGCTGTACCCCATCTCCAGCCAGAAGGCAGGCCTGGGATGCAGCGCTCTCCCCAGGAAGATACTGGCCCCTTGTGCAGGGCAGTTCGTTACCTCCCCACTACCCTCCACACCAAGCCAGCACTGAGGCTGCAGCCATGAAGACAGGGAGAAGGGACCCAAGGTGCACCCAGGCAGTTGGTGGCCATGGGCCTTTCTGCAGATGGTTGATTGTAAGCTAGAGAGGAAGGGAGCTCACATCTCCAGGACCTGCGTACAGACAGGAAGGCGCTCCTGCTCCTGGGTCACAGCCCGGTGTGGGGCCAGCGGGTAGTCAGAGGCAGGAAGGAACTGACTGGCCCCAAGCCCGGCTCCTGGCTTCACTGAGTGGGGCGCTGCGTGGGCAGGGGGAGGACAGGGGCCTGCAGCAGCACCCAGCCAGCCTGGTCCTTCTCGGGTGCCTGCTAGGCGGATGTCTCCCAGACAGGATAGCCACCTCCATCTCTTTTGTGGGAAAAGGGGAGGACCATAAGGAGGGTGCAGAGAAAGCAGGAAGCATCAAGTCCCTGGGGATGGGTGCTGGAAGCGAGGGCTGCTCTCCCGCTGGTTAGAGGCTGAGGGTGGCCCCCTGGAGTAGTCGAGAAGGGAGCCAGGGCAAAGGATGTGAGACCCAGAGTGTGTACAGTCACTGACATGACCTGCAGGTTCTTGGTCTCCACAGTTTGAAAAAAGCCCACCTCACCACATGCAGGGCTGTGGGGAACACCGGAGTGGTCTGCAGATTGTTTGGCTCATAGTAGGCCTTAAATAGACCTCTGTCATGGCAAAAGGCCTTAGCCTACACTCTGGGCACAGGGTTGTGGTGGTGGCTGCGGCCAGCGTCCCTGGAGTAACATGCTCCAGGATTCCAAAATCCCTGAGAAGGAAGAGCCCAGGGAGAGGCTCTGCCCCAGCCCAGCGGCTCTGGCCCTGCTAGTAGGGCCCCCCTGACCGGCAGCTGCCTTTGGCTGAGGATTTCTGGCTGGCGCGAGTGGAAGGACCTGCTCCACTGGAACGTTTTTGTCCCTCCCAGGCGACGTCTGATGGGTGTGTCGGACAGGAGGTGATATTTGACGGGCAGCGGGCTGGCGGCTGCGGAGCCAGGCGCCGGGCAGGGTGCGAGCATGGCCTCCCGGGACCTGCCGCCCCCAACCAGCCACGCGCCGCCGGACGTGCCCACGGGGCTGGAGCTGTTCCTGACTATCCCCTACGCCTTCTTCCTGCCGGAGCTGGTGAGTGCGCCCCACAGGTAGGGAGGGCCTGAGGGGCCGCTGCGCTCCCGTCCTGTCCCAGGGAGGGGAAGGAGAGGGAGGGAAGGAAGGGAGACCCAGCCAGGCTGCTGCGTCCCTGCGTTCCCACTGCCCCATAGCACTGGGAGGCTCTCCAGTCCCTCCTGCGCTCCCCTGGGCTCCTTCACGTAGGGGATTTTCTCCACCCACCCCACTGGGGCCCAGACTGCTGCTGGAATATTCTAGATCCTCAAGATGATTTTGGAAACGGACTTGAATTATATGGCTTCTTTTCTCCAAGTTCTTGTTTGTGCTTTTCTAAAGTTACAAATGGGGGACTCTTTCTTTCCTCCTGAGAGGTCTTCCAGTACCTTCTTACTTGTCATGTCAGCTGACCTTAAACTTTGACTTATGTGGACACCCCACAGGAGGGAGCTCATGACAACCTCACCCATAAAACAGTCCTGTGAGCTGCCCTGGCTGCCCACTGAGAACCTGTCACCATTGGTTACTCTCAGGGGCACCCATGGCTGAACTGTGATTCAGTTCCTGCCAGGTGCTGGCATGCACCCATCTGCACGGTTCTGCACACAGTGTTCCCTGAGCTTGGTCGTCCCCAAGCCACTGTCACCATCCCCTTTTCACTGACGGGGACAGTCAAGTCTGGTGAACAAATCAGGACAGAGGAGTTTGTTTTCTGAACACCTGAAATATCTAGCTTGTGGGCGATACTTTCTTCACAGCTCTGGACATGGCAGTGCTGCCCCAGGCAGGGAGGAAAAGATAGAAAGCAGATTCGGCTCTCAGCTAGAACTCTCATCACTTACAAGGCAGGCTGGGCCCAACTGGGCGACCTTTTGGCAAACCGGTTAAAGGGCGTCCATTAATGGTCCTCAGAAGCGAGGAAGGGCGGGGCAGGCTCCACACTTGGGTGGCTCCCGCTGAAACCCCATCCAAGAGGCAGGTTTCTGCCAGGCCTGCCCCCAAGGGGAAACAGCGTGGGCATCCTGCCAGGCTGATGACATCTTAGTGCTCTCACAATTTCTGTGCCGGACCTGGGTGTATCCCTCACCTCAGAACAACCGCGTGAATTGTCAGGTCTGTGGTTGACCCCATCACATGCTTTATTTCCATCATGCAAGCCATTTGTGACGCTGCCTTCCCAGGGTCCCTGACTGCTGGAGAGAGACTGGAAAGCACTTCCCCTCCACAGTCAGACTGTGCTCGAGGAGGTGGCCATGTGGGGCTGTGGCACCAGGGAGGAGAAGCCATCCGATCTCGTCAAGTAGGGGAATTGTCCAGGTCTGTCACAGAGAGGGCCACTGTGGATATGAACCTCAAATGACAGGCTGGGTTTCCAGGCTGGAAGCCAGGAGAGGGAAAGTCCTAGAGCCCAGAAGAGTTCAAAGGGCAAGAGCTGGAGGGATGAGGCTTCCGAGATCAGGAAAGGACCCAGCAAGAGGGGCCTCTTGTGTACCTGCCCCCACCGTGCTGGCTCCTGTAGGTGGAGTCCCCGGAGCAGTAAAGCAGTAAAGCGCACAGCTATGCTGGGATCCAGGAGTCAGTATCTTAGGGGATGGGATTTTCTCACTGGTTCGATTTTATTCCTTTATTTTTCTTTTGAAATAATTTTAGATTCATAGCAATGCTACAGTAGTAGTACAGAGATTCCTGTATAGTCTTTACCCAGTGTCTCTTAATGTCCACCTCTTATACAGCACAGCTGTCAAAAGAGGAGGGTGACACCGACACTGTGCGTCAACTGTTCTGTAAACCTACGCCAACTGCCGTCTTGGCCACTAGTGTTCTCCTTCTGATCCGGACCCGGTCCAGGCTTCCACATCGCGCCCCTTTCCCCATTCATATTGGGCCTTCCTCAGTCTTTGCCTTGACATATTTGAAGAGCACCAACCATTTATTTTGTACAATGTCCCTCCATTTGGCTTTGTCTGAGGTTTTCTCACAACTTTATTTTTAATTCACTAGTAATTCTTATTCATTGTTGAAAACTTTGAAAACACAGAAAACACTATGATCCATATATATGCATACATTCATATATATATGTGTGTGTGTACACACACACACACACACACACACACACACAGCAGTCCCCTTTTACCTGTATTTTCACTTTCCGTGGTCTGTTATCTGTGATCAGTGGCTGTCCAAAAATATTAAATGGAAAGTTCCAGAAATGAACAATTCGTAAATTTTACATTGTGTACCATTCAGAGTAGTGTGATGACATCTCTCGCTGACCCGTTCTGTCCCACCCTGGATGTGAATCAGCCTTTTGTTCAACATGTCGCTTATACCCTACCCTCCCATTAGTCACTCAGTGGCCATCTTGGTCATCAGACCTACTGTTGTGGTGTCACAGTGTTTGTGTTCAACTCACCCTTTTCCTCAGTAATGGTCTTGAAACACAGGAACAGTGATGCTGGCGATTCGGATGTGCCAGAGAGAAGCCGTAAGGCATTTCCTTGAAACGAACAAGTGAAAATTCTCAATTTATAAGGAAAGAGGAAAAATGGTATGCCGAGGTCACTAAGATCTATGGTGAGAATGAGCCTTCTTCCATCTGTGAAATTGTGAAGAAGGAAAAGGAATTTCATGTCAGTGTGCCAAGAGAGGGTGACCACACATAACTTAATAGTCTATTTTTACAGTTGTTCTATATTATTGTTATTACTCTCTTACTGTGCCTAATTTATAAATTAAACTTTATCATAGGTGTGTATATAAAGGAAAAAAACACAGCATATAGAGGGTTCAGTGCTGTAGCGGTCTCAGGCTTCCACTGGGGGTCTTGTACCACACCCCCATGGGTAAGGGGGCGCTGCCGCACACATGGAATATTTAGCGGGGTTATTCTGCACCGCCGCTCTGCACCAGTCTTTCCCTTCAATAAGCCTCCCTGGCACGTGTGGGCCTCACAACAGGGATGGGAAGGTGACCAGGAGAGGAGGGTGAAGGTCTAGGCGAGTGGGTGATTCTGACACCACGGAGAGAGAAAAAGACATGCTGGGCTGGAGAGGACAGTGCGGAGGCAGCCAGTAGGAGCCCCTCTCTTGTCTCTGGTCACCTGGGTACCACAGAGCACCAGCCTTTGCAGTACCAGTAGATTCCCAGTCCTGGGGCCCAAGGCCTCATAGACAGGCGTGTGTCATTCTAAGGACATGAGGCCAGAGAGTGGCTTCTAAAACCAGGAGCTCAGGCCAACAAAATGGGGCAGAGAAAGCAAAATTCAGACTCAGATGTCATCCGTGATGGGGTGGCCCAGCATGGACATCAGTAGTGTCTGCAGGCACACGTCCCCCGGGCGCCCAGGGCCATCCCACAGGGAAGAGTGGAGCAGAACTAAACACAGGTAGCCCGCACTGCTTCATGGTCGTCGGCCTTCTGGGCCTCTTCCCGGATGCTGGGTCTCTCTGGGTAGGATCCAGGTATGAACCCGCAAGTGTTGGCTGCGCAGCTAGTGCTGCTCTAGGCCAGGCTTTGATTCCCGGGGACATGAGAACAAGAGGTGATAACAAGGGATAATGTCCCAGGGTGGGCCACCAAAATGAGAAGGTATTTGAAGACCTACGACAAAGCAGGCAACTCCATAGAATATGACAGAATTTATAACAGGGCAATTTCCTTGCGGGGATGTAGGCTCAGAGCTGACAAGTGACCTGGCACTCTGCTGTTCTCTGCTAGCAGACCCAGTTCAGTACTTTTAATAGTATAAACTCAGATGGTGATTGACAAGGCAAAAGACAAAGAATGCAGTAATGCCAGGGGCCAGCTTGACATTCATCTCGGTTGTCCCACCATTCGGCCCTTACTAACAAAAATATTTGTAGCTCTGTCTCTAGGAGCACAGATGCTTTGATGTGCTTGCTGGGGCACAGAGCTGAAGTCGGTTTGTTCATATCTATGTCTGGACAGATGAGGTCAGGCCCTGTCTTAGAGGAGTGATGCGGGGACATGTGGAGAGCACTCCAAAATGTGGATCGGGTGTGCTCAGCCACAATTTCAAAGGCCCAGGAGCTGGAGTGGTCATCAGGGCATGCTTATTCAGGGATGCAGGCCCAGCATCCCATGAGGGCTTGGACCAAGGGTGAGGCTGGGACTTCCTGGGTCCAGAAGTTACCGCTTGCAGGGAGCCAGGCTGCAAGAAAGAAGGGCAGCGGCCCCACGTACATGCCATGTGTTTGCTCGGCAGATGTTTAGTGAGCACCTACTCTGTGCCAAGCACAGTGATGTAAGGACAGGAAGATAGACATGACCCTGCCTTATGGAGCCTGGAGCCTAATGGGGCAGATAGAGACCAGCCAGGGAGACCAGTGCATGGTTCCATGTGGCCAGGGTGCCGGGAAGATGGACCGCATGGGGGCGGGGGAGGCTGCACACAGAGAGTGCTCAGTGCAGGGGACAGCACACATAGTCACTGAAAGGCTGAGGGAGCAGAGAAGAGACACTGAAGCCACCAGAGTGGTGAGGGGCTGCCGCCCTCCCCATCAGGCCAGCAGACAGGGCTCAGACCTGGGGAAGCCCAGCCCAGCTGGTACTGGTGCCTTTGAGGAGAGTGTGCTGTGAGTGACAGAGATAGGACTGGGGAATCAGAAACTGGGGTTGTGGGCAGAGTTCCAGCCCACATCACAGAAGGGTGGGCTTGAGCTGAGAGACCCTCAGAACTAACTGGCGCCTCCACACCCGCCCCCCACCTCGTGAGCCACCTTCCCAGAACATGAGCCTCTCTCAGACAGATGGGGCAGGTAAGCAAGCCAGCTGTAGGAAGGCCCACCCAACAGTGTGTCACTTAACTAACAGGTCCTCCTGCAGAGGTGGCAGGAAGGGGCCCAGCACATCCTGGCCCACTGGACCTGGAGCCCCAGATAAGCAGCCTGGCAGATAAAAATTGCCCCACCCACTGCCCCACCCCACCTTGCCAGGCTCTTCACCAGGGACCTTTCCCCGGGCTTGGCAGGTCAAAGCAGCAGGAAGGGGCCAGA